AAATTACATTTTTAAACTGTTTAAAAACGGGACGTTTTTGTACAGATCAAACAAACGAGATATAACTCGCTAGTTTTGCCTTTAGACAGAGCCAGGCTATCAGTTCGCCCCAGTTTCCAGTCTTTATGCTAAGCTAAGCTAGCCTTGCAGCTTCATATTTAGCACACAGACATGAGAGTGCTATTTATCGTCTGATGTAACACTCAGCATGTAACCATATATTCCATAATGTTGAACTATTTATTTTAACAGGTTTTTACTTTGTTGGACAGCAGGACTGTGGAGAGACAGTACATTTTGAAGGCCATGTACCTGGGTTGTTTTTCATAACTCTGCAGTCTCTTTATAAAATGACCACAGTGACTGCATGTTCATGTAATCTTTTTTTATAATAAGTCCTGCTGGCTGAACGGTGGGTGGTAAAAGGTTAAATGATAGTCATCATCAAGTATGCTTCCCTTTTCTCTGTCAAGGATGGGTCAATATTTCACCAGGACAGTGAAAGTACTGGTGTTATCAGGGCAGTAGAGGTGGATAAAACCACATTATCATTCATCTGTGTTCATACGGGTCTCATGCACATTCAGCACGGTGTGAGGGTATGGTCAACTGTCTGGATAAATACATGTACCAAATAAATGCTGAAAAAACGTGACCACTATCTTAGACTACATCCCAGTTATTGGTGCAGCCCCCCCCTCGCATCTCTTAGCAGCCCTCTCCATCAACAGCATATAGAAGTCATCGGCTTATTGAGAGGAATCCCATTTTCCAGAGAGATTTACAGAGCTATTTTTGGAGCCTATCAAACTAGAGGTGTGTGGCAGAACATTTTCACTCTGCTTCAGTTGTGATGAGAAAGGACGTCTTTCCCATGATGCCGCTGCTCTGCTTCAGGGGGGATTTCTACGCAGCTTCATTTTGAAAGTGGGCATGTCTGAATGGTCTGTGTATTCGGTCTGTGGTGCGTTTAAATGTCTGTGCATTCGCTTCATTTTCAGGAAAGTACAGTATAACTGTTCTATTCTTGTACTTGTGAACCATTGCAAACTTCAGTGTAAAGCAATGATAAAATTAGAAGCCGTTCAATCCAAACACCAGGGAACTCAGTCAGTTTAATATGTGAGGCCCTGCTGTATTGATGCAGTTCCATACAACAGTGTGTAATATCACACAGTGATGTTCAGTACAGCATTGTTAGCAAACTCCCAAGACTGATGACAAAATAGAGCTAAAAGAAATCATCTATTGATTTTGGAATCAGAGTAAATTAGTTTTTTTAATAATGATGTTTTCATTTTGTATTTTTTCATATTTTGAGGCACGTCAGAGATGTATTAAAGGGGATGCCCTGCTATAATGTTAATGCGTTTTCTTTCTCAAAGGTCGGACAATTCCCCTAACCCTCATTAATCTTTGTCCCAAAAAAAGTGTCGTTGCTTGTCCTCTCTTCTCCCTTGCCTTTAGGCCTGCATGTTTGCGGGAATCGTGGTTATCTCCCAGGATTAAAAGTTGTGATGATTTATTGACGTTAAAATCAGATATTGACTGCCTCATCTCCCCGGGGAAGACTCAGCAACAGCATGATTGCACCTTGATTGCAGAACACGCTGATTTGATGATTTTTAACCTTGAAAGTGTGGTTCATGATTTTGCTGTGGCTAGGTGTATACAAGTATAAAACCTTCTCTGGTTTATTGCAATGCTCTAGGGTTATTTTGAAATTAGAATTTTGAATAAGATTTTTGTACTGGTTAAATGGGTGTTTTTTCTTTTGAAGCCACAGGGTCAGCTGCAGGGCTTACAGTAGTGTGTAAAAGGTAGGTAGGTAGGCTTTACTATTACCACACACCAATAACCATCAAATACTCAATTCACACACATGGAATTGGGTCTAGTCTGAAAATAGCCCTTATCTGAAAACTTCCCTCTAATGGAAATCTACATTCAAAGACATTTCTTATAGGATTAGGTTTAATCCGTGGCTGTGAAACCAGCCTAGACTGTCTCCATTCCAGCTCTATTCTCACACTGTGTGTGTCTACAGGCATATATGTTGGAGTGTGTTCATGTGCACACCCATGCGTGTGTGTGCATGCACGCCGGCTGGCGAATGCCCAACATTACACAGCGCACGACTGTCGATTTGAGAGTTTGGATTAAAAAGTAGATTGTGTTCCTTGGAACAACCTCAAACTTCCCGCAGCCAGCGTGGAGATTGAAGAAGCCTCGCTAATTGATACAGTTTTTCCTCTGCGCTCTCCCCGCTCTAACTGAAGCCCCTGCTGGAGAGATAAGATGCTCTTTATTCTCTTTTTCATCACCCCTTTCCTCCTCCTCGCCTATTTGACCCAATTTATCAGTGGCAGATAAAAACCAAACAAATCAGAGGAGTCGCAGCTTCAAACTCGTTGCCCTTTGGCTGGTGTCTGATCCTTTCCTCCCTCTGACACTGTGTTTCCCACCCCTCCCTGCTTGGCTTTGATCTGCCCATCCAGTGTTTCTCCACTCTTTCCAGCCTAACAGATTTCAAGTTTTGTTAATCGATGGGCCATAATTTTATTTCGCGAGTTGCATGCACCTCAGAGGAGAGAGGAGTTAAGTATGATGGACTGCTGCTACATCTTGAATGCTGATGAAGCAGAAATATAACTTTTAGGATTTAGCCACCAAAACAGTACATCGCCACAGGTTCAGCTTATTGATCGCTGATTGATGAGGCACTTGTGCCATCACTCAACCTCACTCTGCTCTTTGAATCGCCTTAGACAACTCACCAAATAATTTTGCAACAACCTGTAGTGCTGCTCGAGAGCCGGGAGCATGACATGAAATTTTGCTCCACAAAGTTCGTTCAGACCTCTTTAATAAGTCAGGGCAGCAGGGAAGTGGACCTCATTACCAATTAATGTCAGAGAGAGCAGTACTGACTTTTTGAATTTTAAGTTTAGTGTAGATGTGGGAGAAAGAAGCCCTCAGGTTTTTAATGTTGGTTCTATGTAGTGCTGTTACAATAAATGGCGGTGGGATGTTTCTAAATAGGTCGATTTTAACCCACCAAATAGCACATTATCATGCATTATCCAAAGGGGTGAATAACTTGATCACATGTAATATCTGAATAGAACCTGGAGCACATCATCACCAGTCATCATCAAAGAGCTCAGTCAGGTCTGCTTCCTCCCAGTGTGTCACACTTAATCATAATTTACAGCACACAGTCATTTTCTATATTCTGATCTCTACTCCCCTTAAAATCTGTACCACTTTAATAAAGTGCAACATTTGCCACATATTTGATGCTGGATGCCTGCGGGGGACTCTAGCGGGCGTTCATGGTAGAGTACAGAGTCGGAAGATCCTGAGGAACTTTAGCGCTCTGGATAAAGCCTGAGCTGCTGACGTTTAGTCAGGAGATGAATGGAGCTTGCGGAGGGAGATGAGCTGATCCTGCTGAGAAATACCAAAATCCAAAGATGCACTGTCACATACTTCTTATGTTTCTTCTTCTCTTGGACCGCTCCCCCCCTGTGGTCGCGTCAGACGACTTTCATTTAGCTCCGTTTCAAAGCAAAGCGCCAGAGAAAGCCTCGTCGGCACATTTGACTTCGGCTCCCACTTTAGTCGCTCGTTCATTTCCACTCTCTGGATGTTTTCCCTTTATTTTTTTATATTCCTTCAAACTGCGCTACCCTTTTAATGTAAAGTAGCAAATGATTGTGTGGGATTCTGTGGATTTAGGATGCTGCTCTCGTGAAGGGATGTGTTTCTCAGCCAGACCGTGATTGGTCATAATTTATTAACGTGGGTACTTCTGAGTTCTACTCACGAGGATGAGGTAGGAGGAAAACAGCCAAATCAGCCGTCTTAAATTCAGTAGTTTTCAATAGTTGATAGTCACTTTAAATTCCCCCAAAACTTTCCACGGATCTGCTCAGTGAGTATCACTGGCTTTTTCCTTTCCATCTGGGATTTTGACTCGCTCACACAATTTTTCTCATCCATACACACTTGGGTCACACAACACGCCTCTACATGAAAACATGCCACTAAGGTTGTGTGCCCATGTAATTGGATGAGAGAATCATGTTAGGAGGTTTGTGCCCCCAGCCATAGCCTGCCGGCTTGGTCTGATGCTCCTGTTTCAGCTTCCTGCAGCCACTTAACTGCCCTGCGGGGGATAAACACTTGAGCTCATGCTCTCACAATCTCTCCCCTGCCAAGGCTTTTTTAAGTGTCCATGCTTTACCTTTGACCTATCGTAGCTACAGTAGTGGTTAGCTGCAGACCAGCACAGGCTTGGCCATAGGATCAAGCCTTTCTCAGTTGCTCTTTTAAGCTGGCAAAAATGTAATTTACTTGACTCCAGTACTGCGACTCCCATGGGCCCCAGAGCCTGGAAAGTTTACAACACAGCTAAGTAGCCATAAAGGGATTTGGAGGCTCGAGTTTCTCTCATATAAACTGTCCAGAGAGAAGATGTAGGCTTTTTAGCACTCTGGAAAATGATGGTGCAGCCGGGCCTAAAATATAATAAGAATATAACAAGGTGATCGTCTGATTGCTTGCGTTTCTGGTCCCACCAGACTTCCTGTTAGTGATATTGCCATGTTCCCAGATCTCAGCAATTAGTTAACCAAACTACAAAAATATGACCCATGTTACATTTAACCAGAACCATCCTTTAAGTCAATCCCCTTTGCCTCTATAACAGGAGAAACCCTCTTACAGTCATGATATAGATGCATTGCGTTAGTGGACACATGCAGGTGAGCCCCTGAAATTATCATTAGTGTTTAGTGGTCAACTGAGGCTGTTCATTTCATACTACCCTTTGTGTCAATATCACTGCAGCTCAGACGCATAAATATATGCAGCACCTCTCAAAACAAACTAAGCCAGACATTTTCCAGGCTCATCTCTTCTTCTTCTACTCTTCTTCATACCAACAGCTCTGAGTTTGAATTATCCTGAGTGTGATTCTCTTCCTCCTCTCCCAGGCCTAGTACAGAAGGTAGACCAGCGCCTCCCGGTGGCCAACGAGTACCTGCTGCTTTCAGGCGGGGCCCGGGAAGGCGTCTTGGACCTCAACCCCGAGGACCTGGGGGACTACGCCAAAGGGGCTGACTTTGACCTGGACTTCACCCTGCTGGTGCCCGCCCTCAAGCTCCATGACCGCAACCAGCCCGTCACCCTGGATATGAGGCACTCCCCACCCTGCCACTCGTGGCTCAGCCTTCGCCTCTGCGACTCCAACATCCTGTCCCGCTGGGGCGTCTGCTGCCAGGAGGAGAACGGACTTTCCCCCGAGGAAGACGAGGAGGAAGAGGGAGAAATGGGTGAGTAGAAAAAGTAGAGTAATCATAGCGAGGGCAGAGAAGGAATTGGCAATGGGGAAGAGGAAATGGAGGACAAAAGGTGAATGGATGAGGTAAGAATGAAAAGAACAGCAGGGATAGAGTTGGAAAACAAACTACAGTGGAAGGAGGATGGGTAAGCAAGTATTAGAAATAGAAAGATGAAGAGATAAGTGAAGAGATAGAGGAGGAGTGGAGTAGACAACAACGAAGGTACTGTAGCAGGGCAGAGTGGAAGGAATCGGAGCTGATTGAATTTCATTCATGTTTCACTGAGATAATTTGATGCATGATGTTGTGATGCAATTTTGCCCGGCAAAGCCGCAGCGGGGGCCCCTTATACAGCCTCAAATAGGTGAAACGAGAAAAGCCTGCCCAGGAAATACGCGCTGAAACATTTATGAGTAAACTTCACAATCGAAAGTTCAAGATTTGCTCGCCGGCTTCCAGATTACACCGCGACATCAATCTGCCACACGCTCGCGAGTTGGAAACATCCAAGATGAGAAAAAGTAATGACATTTATTGATATGAATCTCTTTAATTTTCAGCAATTTGGGAAACACATTTGCTGCATTTTCCGGTTGTATTGTTACATTTCCCACAGGATCTTTATATGAGTGTATTTGTGGTGGCAGGATGGGGTGATTTAGTGATGTATCACACCAAAATGCTACTGGGAGGTTAAAAAGAGGGCAAAAGGGACATGAGTTTGAATCCGATTTTAATTCTTTGCAGCACAGCATTTACACCTGCTTTTGAAAGTAAATTGTATACAGTATGTACCCAAAGGTTTTTGTTTAGGGCTGTAACAAGCCATTATTTATATTTTATTTTTTCAGGCCAGTGTTTGTTATGTGAGACAGCATCCATCCATCCTAGCATGTCAGGAAATAGGCTACAGGCATAATGTAATTTACTTGAGAAATTAAAATGGTTTCACTCTTAGATCATGCCGTGAAACAAGTATTTTTAAAGGGTCAAGGGTCATTTCATCGTAACACATCACATTATTAACGTACAGTATAATGTAGGCTGGTTCCATATCGGCTCCCCACCGTTTCACTATTACTGAAAGGAAAACTGATGTCTAAGTCATGTCTAAATTGCTGTACTCTGTCTATGTAATTTTTATTATTTTTATAGTAGGAATTGAGTGCCTTTGGTGTTTCATAGTGATTTGGTTTTAATTAGAATTTTGGACTTCTGAAGTGTGTATAAATGCACCAACTAGTCTAACCTACTATTTTATGAGGCTACAGAGCCAAGCAGTCAAGTGTAGAAAGTACATCCCTTCCAGGTCCCGTTGGGCTCCACCTGCTGGACATCGGCCATGAATGTGGAATCTCTGGTCTACTAAATAACAATTTAAGTTCTATTGCTTCCATTGCCCTGTGAGCTTGGTAAATCTAGTCACTGGTCTGCATGAGTGAGACCCAGCATTCATCCCTTCCATTCTTCATCTTCCTTGCTCAGGGAAAGGCTCCATCCCCTCCCTGGGCTCCCCTCAGTCTCTGGATGGATGCTACTTCTCTCCCTCCCTGGTGACAGACTGGTTCTGGGCGGTGGTGAGCGAGGCTGTGGAGGAGCTGAGGCGCAGTCCCCAGAGAGGCATTCCCACCCCAGACCGACTAGAGAGGAACGGACCCCTCACCACTATCATCCTCCAGGTACAGCTTGAGAAACTGTCCCCATGCTGGAATAATGATCATTTTTAAATCAAGCATGGTTTGCATCCATGTAGCGTAATAGCACTGACTAGAGGTCAAAGACTCCCGCTCTATAATTGCTCATTAAAAGAGGACATACTCGTGTGTGTGTGACATCAGTATTGGAACAGATTGCAGCCAAATGTTCAAATCATTTTCAAGAAATCACCCTGCAACAATGTTCGTCAGAGGAATACAAATTCAGGAGTCAGTGCTGTTCTAATATTCCACCACCCTCCTCCCTGCAGGCGGGCTCCAGCCGGGTGCTGTACGACCTGCTGCCTGTGGTGTCGTTTCGGGGCTGGCCTGCTGTGGCCCAAGGCTGGCTGACCGCCAACCACTTCTGGGACGGGAAAATCACAGAGGAGGAGGCCATATCTGGCTTCTATCTGCTGCCCTGCTGCTCCCCGCTGGGTGGTCGGCCCGACAGGGAGTGGAGGCTGGCATTCTCACGCAGCGAGGTGGGGGGGATTGTTAATGTAACTTATATTTCTGTGTCACATCTGGTGCCACGTTGTATTAGTTCAAAGAATCGGTAAAATATTGCTTTTTTTCTTTTCCTTATTACCAGGTTCAGTTGAAGAAGTGCATCCCCTACCCCATGGCCCAGGCTTTCCAAGCAGCCAAAGCCGTGTTGTCTCGTATCCTGGCCCGACCGCGTGCGGGTCTCAGCCTCTATCACCTGCGCACTCTTCTGTTCTGGGCCTGTGACCGACTTCCTGCCGCCTACCTGTCCTGCCCTGACGTGGACACCCCTGGCCGCCTCCTCCTGGGTCTCCTCGATGACCTGGCTCATTGCATCCTGGGCAAAAACTGCCCAAACTACTTCCTTCCCCAGTGCAACATGTTGGAGCACCTGACAGATAGCCAGGCGCTGCTCGTTGCCAGAAAACTCGCCCACGTGCGCTCGGATCCCAGCGAGCACCTCCGGGCGGCTCTGGACCAAGCGCAGCAGGCGGGCCAGCTGAAGAAGGAGCTCACAGCTAGCGCCACCAACGGCCACGGCTCTCCCGGGCACCACCCGGCCAACGGCATCATCTCGCCTTCGGAGGACAAGCTGGCGCAGCGACTGCAGCAGCTGGTCACCGAGAACCCTGGGAAATCCATATCCGTCTTCCTCAACCCAGACGACGTCACCAGGCCACACTTCCGCATCGATGATAAATTCTACTGATGAAGAGGTGCTGCAGAGGAGACGTGTGGAGACGTGTGTGTCTAGCTCACAAACACATGCTTAAAATGCTCTGAGACGTCACATCTGTACGGAGACTGAGAATCAGGCAGGTGTTTTTTTTTTTTCTTCTGAACACTGCAGGCCTGGAAGCGAACACACTCCTCCTGTTCACCATCCGGAGGCTGAACAATGCAACAAAGCCTTGCTGCTCGACTGACTCTTTAAACCAAAAACACATAATGTCCTACTACTGACAAATGGTGTCCAATTTGGCGGACGTCGCACAACAGACCTGATGTCACCCAGCTGTTGCCACGGAGATGGCCCTCTCCTAACGAGCTGGCCTTAACAAGACTTCTCAGCTGGTGCTACAAAGACAAGGGCCGGCTTTAGTCATGTGAAATAAGTCCAGTGGAGATCAACACAGATCGTGTGTGTGTGTGTGTGTGTGTGTGTGTGTGTGTGTGTGTGTGTGTGTGTGTGTGTGTGTGTGTGTGTGTGTGTGTGTGTGTACGCCTAAGGGTTTTCACATATTACTTACACTTCTAAAGACAGAGGGAGAAACGCTTCTTGATTGCTGCATTTCTCCCTTTTTTATTTTAGATCAGAGTGGGCGATGGCTGAATCAGAAGGAAAAACAAGGTGTGGCTGATGTAACTGAATGTAATGTTGTGAGGAGAACTGCCGAGCTTTTGAACAAAGAGTCTCTTTTCTCTGTCAACTACGTTTTTAGCCCTTGTTTATTTCTTTTCTCCACGCCTAGAATTACGGCATGTTTTTCATTTAAAAAAAAAAAATCTTTCTCAGGTATTCATAATACTTATCCTTTTTTATGTACATGATTCCCTTTCAAGGTCTTTAACTATTTTTCAATGCCGCTTACATTTCATTAATACCGGTGATGGAATGTACCAAAGAACTGCGTTTGCGCAGTTTTGAGAAAAGAGAATGTCTTACATATCCCTAAACTTTATCCCTAATCTGATGAATCTGCTGACTCATGGTCAGTGTTAAGTTTTGTCCTCCTGATGGCCCGGTCACACCGGCGGTTAAAACGACAACATTTTGCAGCAAAATCAATTAATTCCAATGGAATCGTCACAATAAGTAGATTTGCGCGCAAGAGTAAACGGCGACATTTGAGAGAACAGATAAGTTGGCTTGTATTAACGGCTCCACAGAAGATGGTTTGCAGACAGGTAATGAGAGTCGATGGTACATACAGACGTGGACTTGCTGCACCCGTTAGCGGCCCAGCTAATGAGTTTGCTTACTGACAGTTAGCTTGTTTTTTCCTCTGTCAGTAGAACTTAATTTAATAAAATGACGGATAAACCTGAAAATAAAATGCCAGGGGGAGTGAACGGCCTAGCAGAGAGAAAATTGAAAGAAGCTTGGCGACCCATTGTGACCGACTAGCCCTAGCATGTCCTGGTTGGCTAGCGTGCTAGCTGTTAGCTCCAACTCCAGTTGTTCACCAGCTAACGCTGTGAATTATTTGAATGTATTTGGGTTTTAGACTAACGAAAAGCAATGTGAAGGGTAGTTTGGGCTCTGGCCTCTTGTTTTCGACAGTTTTCTGGCCTTTTAACAAACAATAAAATGAATCAATAATGATGCGCAAATGGCAGCCGTAATCACGGCTAAACATATTTTGCACACAGACGCAGGTTCATTTCAGTTCAGTTGTGGTGTGACCGGGCCTTGGATAAGTTAAGACTGAAAAGGATGGGGATGTTAAATGAACTAAACTGTTTCATTATAATATAATACGATGGTTTTCTTACCGTACTGAGATGTAAGAGTTGTTACAACATTTGAGAAATCCTTGCAACTTGTTCAAGTATTGAGTTTACTTTTCCTACCTGAGCAGACATTTTGGTCCTTCGTGTGTGGAGTGTTAAGATAGGCCCTTTATAAGGGATTCAGAAAAAATATAACCTTGTGTATGTAGATATGAGGAATCCAATTAGAAGTGTATTGATCTAATAATGATTGGCTGTTCTGCCATAGTCACAACTAAGTGAAGGTACTTAACTGGGGGCCCAGCACATCCTGTTGCATCGTGTAAGCGAGTCTATTAACTTTCCGTTGAAGAAACTTCGAGCTTTGTGCGTCTCTCATTCGATTTTATTTGGAGACTGGTTCTGACTCGACTGATTCTGATAATTGTCCCTGTCTCCTCTGCTTGGTTGGTCATTTTTAATGAGCTTTTGTGCGCGTGTGTGTTCACCGAGACACCAACCACGCAGCAGGACGCAGGCAGACACCCAGATGCTGCCCACTCAATTATACCCTCAGTGGGTGTGTTTTAGTCGCTGGGCCCTATCGTTTCTCACCAGCCGGGGAGTCATCCGTCGGGTGGGGATGGAGGGATCGATAGAGGACGGATGCAGGGTTGGTAGACGGGGCCCTCCTCCGGTTCTTTTTTTTTTAAAGGGGGAAGATGGGGCCTTGCGGGGGCCTGGACAGCTGACTCTCTCTCTCTGGAACTCGCGCTGTCTTTTGTTTTCTCTCACTCTTGTGGCTCCAGTGTTCCTCTTCTCCCTTCTTCCTCCTTCCTCCCTCCTCCCATCTAGATTTCCCTGCATAGGGTTGTCATATTTTTATTCTTTTAGGACTCTAGAGCAACACAGAGCTCCTAAAACGTGGTACTTATCCAACCTTTGATTAAGTATACCCAGGCACGCTTTGATGCTCTCCCTTCCACTTGCATTAGTTTTCGTGGGTCTTACTTGTTTTTACCTTTTTAATGAATCTGAGACTAAACGCTATCTGCAAACACACTGATGGGTAAGCTCTGATTCGACGGGGGTTTTACCGAGCACTGAAATGCTGCTTCCGACTTTATAGTGCATAGGCGGGGTACAAAACGCTACAAGCACACGATTGGTCACAGTTAAGTTTACGTAAATATCGAGGTGACGGCGGTTCATCTTTGTGAGTTTTAAGCTGCTGGCGGATTGTTTTTCCTTCAGAAGGCGTTCGAACATCTGTGAGCCTCGCGTTACGATATCTGCCCTCTACGAACGCCATGTGCTTACTACTGAACGAATGTTTTACAGCGTCTGTCTGTACTGGTGGTGTGTGTGTGTGTGTGCGTGTGCGTGTGCAAGACTTGAGTGTATGAATTGAACCTGAGGAAAACCAAAGTGCGTGGAGGCGGTACAGAATGTGTGAGTAGGGTGTGTATTCAGGCGTCGGTGTGTGTTTTCAGCACTTTTCCAAGACAGGCTCAATTGTCGCTACCGCGTCCTGAATAGTCACAGAGAGAATGGCAGCATTTATTTATTGGAAACTATAGTTGATGTAAAGGTACTTTCTCATCGCCCTCTTTAATGTGCGACTGAGAGTGTTGCAAGTGTAAAATAAAAATGCGTCTCACTTTGTACCTTAATGGGCCTAGTTAGAGATTACTGGACACTGGAAACAATCAATGTTTTTTCCTGAATTGTACACATGAAATCCTTGTGGAGAAAATCCTGTATTTTACACTAGTGTCAGTTTCTAGATATGCAATCAAGCGCCCCCCCCCCCATGGAAAGGTCTACACCGCCTGCTCTAATTGTACTTTAGTGTAGATTTTACCATAGTTGTGAAAGAGGGGAATCACTATCTGCTGTCCAGGGATTGCATAAAAACACAGGTGACACTGTAAAACATCATTCTCCGCTCTCCGCTCCTCTATTTATAATCACTGCTGGGCTTTTCTTCTTTCGTTTAGTTTTTTTTTTTTTGTGCTGAAACTTCTGATGATTCTGTTTAAGATTCATTTGACTACTGTGGATAAATAGCTGACCAAAAACAATGAATGTATCCGCCATATCTCTCTAATCCGTTCCAGACGTGCAAACACATCAAATCTAATTTCTCACCGTTATCTGAACAGACGTACTCTGCTCTGTACTCAAGTGCTGAGATAGAAATCTGTACTGAATCACTCCACTGTTTGAGAAATTGAATTTCATATCTCTTTTATTACTTGAGATACTTTTTCTTTTTTTTTTCTTTTTCTAAAAAAAATAAGTGCAAAATAATTTTCTCTGTATGATGATATGACTGATTTGCTGTATTTATTACTGTTATTTTCTGGGGGTTTATATTGATCAATCTTCAAGCTTTAGCATGAAATAAATCACTACATTTCAAATCACATAGCGTGGGAATACAATTATTATGCTTGCAATATTTGTTTATTTCTCTGGCTGTCACAAGCAGAAGGGATAATTCAAAGAAATGTACCCTTCCTCTGTGTGAGTGTCTACAGGTTCACAGGCATTTAAGCTGCAACTCGTGTTCAGTCCAACAGAGGGCGCTCTAAGACAGTGTTTGCACTGCATATGCTTCACCTGAGTGTGCTCTGTCACAACTGTTAGGAGAGTGAAGAGGATGCTCGGGCCGACAGCACACACACACACACACACACACACACACACACACACACACACACACACACACACTGTCGGTATCAAAATACTGACTCAGCGAGTGTGAGTGCAGGACTTGCTTTTACTATAAGACAGTTGAGCAGAATGAAAGATTATACAGGAAATTATTCTCCTTTAGTTATTTTGGGTAAGAAACCCGTCTCTACTCAGTGTCTGCTCAGATTAATCTTATTTATCCTGCTCACAGGCTGAATGAACACAAGGAAGAGAAAATAATGTGACAGTTAATTGGTATCTGTTAGTGAATACTCTTCTTTTTCCTCATCCAGGGACAGGCCAAAGGTCACGGTCAGAACTCACATTTTCTTGCTGACGGTCTACATGGACACTGTCCCCTGATAAATTGCATAATGTCCATCACCAAGCTTGGGGAGTAACTGATTACACGTAACAGAGTGAAGGATACAAAAAACTATAATACATTAGAGTCAGAAAAAGATGTAATCTGATTACAGTTACATTTAAAAATTTGGGATTATTAGCAGGATTCCAATTATACAATACATTTTATAACAAAGAGCGACATTCTATGCACAGACATTGCAACATTAGAAACACAGCACCGCTCTGGTCTCAGTCTAACCATAGCTAATCCTGCAGTTGCTAATTCATTATCATGGCCTCTAGTGAAAAAATCCTTTTGCTGGGTTGAAATTTCCCCATTATTTTGTTGGTAAAGCAGATAAAAGATTTACATCACAGTACAGTGCATGTTCTGGCCTCCAGCTGTGAAAATGTCTACTGGCGACTGCCTGAATTTGCTTAATGAAAAGCACATTTTTCTAAAAGAACACTGAGCAGAAGACACATATTTGATCATAAAAATATTGGTTTCCATTTTTCCCCTAAGGTTAAATTGTTCTGTTGTCTCACAGAATATGTACAATTGATATTTCTTTTCTCTTGTCTTTATTTTGCTGAGGTAATCCAAAAATAATTATAAAGTAATCAAGTTAATTAATATCACATTAATATTGTGATACTTGGATTAGATTTCTGATTACAAAGATTACATTTTTTAACAGGTCCCTTCTCCTCTGTAGTATCACCCCATCACTCTAAAGATGCATAGTTGTTGTTTATGACTTGAAAACTACTTCCATGTTACTGATATTAATTTAGATCTTTAATTCCTAACCCCCAGTTTGTTCATTTGGGAATGGGGATTGTTGTGTCTTTCGACTGTTGATTATCCATTTCAAACTAAAATCACTTTAACTCAACCTTTCATGACCTATAGGATGGTGTTACTTTACTTGGGACATGGACCACTGATATATATTCTGTTGCTTATTAAAGAAAATCCCAGAGGAACCCATTTGATACAGGCTCAGTCTTTTGAATAATTTACATAGACACTTCCTATTCTATAAAATAGAATATAAAAATAATGATGGGCCAGACAAGGTCCAGGTGACTAGACTAGAGTTTGCCATGTCTATACAAACGGTCCCATATTAAAGTAAAGCGAAAAACTACAAAGGGTTTTGTTGTTTTTGTTTTTTTAAGATTTTTTGGGGGACTTTTATGCATTTCTTTGACAGGATAGGGAAGGACGGGTGAGAGAGAGGGGGCAACCTGCAGCAAAGGGCCCGGGCCGCTGTGGTAAGCACTCAGTCTGTATAGGGTGCCTTTTATCAGGTGAGCTACCGTGCGCCCCGGTAAGTAGTTTTCGAAAGAACCTTGAAGAAATCATTGCATTGCCGCAATCAAGAAGCCCAATAAGAAACACTGAAAAATCCTCGTCTGCTGGTAATCAAACGCTGTGCATATGCCGAGGACGTATTATAATATTTGCTTGCGTCCCCAGGCGATCCCTGACATTAAGAAATATTTAGCCACTGTCTGTCATTAGTTATGTGATGATGGCACAGATGTTTTTGGTACAAACACACATCATATCATTTTTTATTAATACCCCAAACCACATGCACACATTGACAGCGGCAATCTGTTGATGTCTATTAAGCAGATTATGAAGCGAGGAGCTCAGTGGATTGTGTAAGTTACAGATGTGACTGTCCGTCTCTGGCTCTGACCTCATGAATGACTGAGACCATTATCACTGCAGTCCAGCCTCATATTAACCTAGGTTTAAACTGGAAACTGCCTTTATTTTTCTTGTTCCAGACTCTCTAGTAGTGCGTCTGATTTTAGGTCTTTGCTCTTAAGTTTCTTTTTTATTTTTATTATTTCGTACATAAAGTGCCAATTACTGATTTCTGATTAGCCAAACATAAAACACATATTGGATGGATTGCCATGAAATTAGGTGCAGGCATTCAGGTCCTCCTCTGGAAGAACTGTATATACTTTGGTGATCCCCTTAAAGAGGCTATAATCAGTATTTCTAATAACGATCAAATGACTTAATGCAAACAATGTTACAATGTAAAAGTGATGCGGAAAAGCTCTAAAACCCCACCTTACACTACCTGTTCAGCACCAAACAGCAGACAGAAACAGTGAGCAGCCAGCTGTTGAACATAGTGGAGTGTTTAGTGGCTAAAAAGCCAGATATTTCCCTCAGGAGTTGGTAGCGACCAAAAACAGAGCAAAAAGAGAGTGAAAAAAAACAAATAAATAATAATGTTGCTCTAATTTCTGAATGAATAAATCATGGCAGTGTTGTAAGCAATTTGGCTTTTTGTTTAGTCACATTGGTAAACTGCACTTGATAAATGCCAGTTTTTCTTTCCATTTGCTTTTTTAATTGCTCATGTAGAAACCTAAACCAAAGAGAAGATATTCATCAAAACGTTGCAACAATTGTAAAACATTCACCCAAACTAAGTGCATAAATACACACATTTTAAAATTTATATATCAAATTGACCTCCATTGCATTCATTTGTCCCCATCCGACCTGCGTGTGTCCTCATCAGTGTCTCTTACCGTTCATTGTGACCAGATCTCCATCGTAAATAGGCCACTGTAACCTCAGCCCCCAGGCAGCATTGCCAGTTTGTGTGTGTTTGTGGGTATAAAGTCGTGTGAACGAGGCCAGGCTGTAACTCTAGAGCGCGGGGCTGTCTGTCACTGACAAACTGGGGCTGAACGAGGACATGTGTTCACCTGACACACACAACAGCAACAGCAGTCAGTGCCAGTGGGCCATTGTAAGCTCATCCTGTCATCCTAGTTACATCCTGCATAAATGAAGAGGTTTGTGTTTGTCGGGGTCCGTTTGCCATCATACGTGTGTGTGTGTGTGTGTGTGTGTGTGTGTGTGTGTGTGTGTGTGTGTGTGTGTGGCGCGCGCTCACGCCACCAAAACATAACTCCAGAGTCAGGAAAAAAAAAAATCCCACAATGCTCAGTGGAGCTATCATAAACCCATAACCTCGACCTCGAAGCGTTTAGGCAGGCAAGCTGGATGTTGCAACCTCCTTACTGCCTCACTTACCTGATGGAGTTCACACACAATCTGTAGGTGTGTGTGTGTGCATGACAGACACACACTCACGGTGGAGTAATCCCTGTTAGTTTCTGGTGACTGGTCAGTGCAGCTTTTTCCTGTTCCTGAATCCAATCCATCCTTCATCTGTGTCCCCATTTCTTGCTGCCCAGGACACCCCTCGACACTCTCTCTGCCTTTTTCACCATCATTCACCTGTGTGTGTGTGTGTGTGTGTGTGTGTGTGTGTGTGTGTGTGTGTGTGTGTGTGTGTGCGCGCGTGCGCGCACGCTAAACTTGTTCCCGTGCCAGCATGCATTAATCTCCATTACTGGATCACGTGTATAAAGAGTTTGGAGGGGAGAGAAAGGGAGGACAACCAGGAGAGATGCATCCATCTCTGCATGTTTTTTATGCCGATCACACATTGCTGGTGTCTCCCGACCTTTTACCCTTGTACAGCTTCAGCAGGTCCTTTCTGGCTGAGCTACCACACGTCCTTATAACGGCCCCGTCATAGCTGATTGTAAATCCCACGTCGTTAAGCTGATAGTTCTCAGTTCTCATTGACTGACGCACATTAAAACCATTGTAAAGTTCCTGATTAAGGCACTCTTGTAACTATGTAACTACTTGTGCAGCTGCTGTTCCGTAGCTGCTATGTATTCTCCAGCAGGTTTTAGGTTTGCAGCTGCATAGCTGTTCACTCTAAAACCGTACCATTGTGTAAACTGACGACCCGTGACTAGGTGACATTTTATGGAGTTTTGTAAAAATGGATGAATTTGGTGATTTCCTGTGAATATTGCATCAGAGATGAGCTTTTTAACAATCATACATACTTAAAGGGCTTTTTTTGGGGGGGTAAATTCAGTGTTCAGTCTTCTCAGGGTAGGCTCTGTGAATAAAGCTTGTGTTCAGGTCTTCTAAGTTTAGATCTTAAATAATCTAAACATTAAAAATAACATTTTCATTAAGTTTCCCTCACAGAATTGAACAAATATATAGCCATAGTGTGTATATTTTTCTAAGTTTTCTTACACCCCTTAAAATCAAGGAGGCATCGTGAGTCCCTGCTAAGCTTTGGTGACCCCTAGTGGGGTTCCTGACCCCAAGGTTGGGAACCACTGCTCTAAAACATATGTTGCTCAAGTAAACTTCCTCTTTAAGGCTATAAATGTCAAACATTTTGTTTCCTCAGATCTGCTAGTTTTGCTGGAAATGTCAACCACAAAAGACGCCAAAGTGTACAACATGCTTAATTTAATAAAGAGAATTGGATTGAGTGATTAGATCAATTTGGGATGA